AGTGCTGAGTGTGAACGGTTTGCTCCCATTTCCATCAAACCGGACCCTCAGACAGACGCCATGTGTTTACACCATTCACTCTGTTCTTAAATTACATCTTAAATAAACACACACACACACACACACACACACACACACACACCCACACCACACACACACACACTTCGCTGGTTGGTTCACTCTGACAGGACGAGGACGGGAGTGTGCGTGTGTGTGTGTGTGTGTGTGTGTGTGTGTGTGTTGTACGATGGGATTAAACAGACAAAGCAGCGCTGACAGCTTCATAACTGGAAGAGACCCCCAGGGAGAGATGACAAACAAGCCTGGCTTTTTATTCTGAGGAAACATCCGGAGATACCAGCAGACAGAAGACAAGAAGAAAAGGATAAAAAGAAGAACAACAACAAAAAAAATCAGAATCAGGGCTGAAAAAAGGACAACAAATTAATAAATAAAACAAAACAAAACCAAAAAAAAAACAAAAAACAGAAAATCAACCAGACTCAATGACCTGATGCTATTTTTAAAATAGAAATTTAGAAATGATGAAATAGCCCATCCTTGGACAATCAAGGATGTGAAAATGTTGTAAAGTAGGGGAGAAAATGGGATATGATTACATTGGGATGTTTATTTCTGTTTCTTTTTCTTAGATTAATGAAAATGTTTGAAAAAAAACAGGAACAGAACCAAAAATGGACAAACAGATACATGGCTGGAAAAAGGGCCAAAAATAAACAAAAACTGAATCAGGGACTTTAAAAGGAGAAAGGGAAAACAACAATGACGAAATAATGGAAAAGGGGACAAAATAACAGAAACATGGAAAAAACAGTAATGGGGACAAAAAAAAAACAAGACTAAAAATGGAAAGGGGGACAAAATAACATAAACAAGGTGGGAAAACAAAAACACTGAGCTTTCACTGTCTTCTTAAAGTTAAACAATGAAAAATTACACTTCTCAGTGTCAATCAAGGAGAATTCCAGCAATTTTTCAGAATTTCAGCATTAAACAGTTATTCAGAGTGGTTTGAGCATTTAAATATTACTGACTATTCATACTGAAGCTATAAGGAGTGTTTCAGCTTGGACTGCTTTTTGAATGAGGCTAAACACAAGAAGACCAATCAGAACAGAGATCACTTACATATATCTGTATTGAAGGTACAATAACATAAACAGGCTGTTTAATTCTAAGGGGTAGAATTGGTGCATAAAACCACATAAAATGTTGCAAGGGGGCTTCAGGGGAAAAAAATAAATACAAGGAAAAGGTAAGCTATGGGCCCCGCAGTGGATACGTTTAAAAAAAGTACGGAAACAAAGTTAAGGTCTACATTTTAATTTACAATTATGGATTTTTTCACTTTTCACTCTGAAGAGAAATGTTTAAAAAAGGAAATACTTAAGGCCAAAGTTCACTTAAGATGTTTTATGCAAGCGGCCACTGATCCTTATTCACATGCAGAGTGAAACAGTTTGCTCTCAATGGTTGAATTCTTATTTTACATATTCATCCCAGGTGCTATAAAAAATAGAACTATAGCTTTATATATACATGTAACATACATGGGCGGCATGGTGGTGCAGTGGTTAGTGCTGTCGCCTCACGGCAAGAAGGGCCTGGGTCCAGCTGGGCAACCAGCGTCCTTTCTGTGTGGAGTTTGCATGTTCTCCCCGTGTCTGCATGGGTTTCCTCCAGGTGCTCTGGTTTCCTCCCACAGTCCAAAGACATGCAGTCAGGCCAACTGGACATGCTAAATTGCCCCTAGGTGTGAGTGTGTGTGAATGTATATGTCTGTCTGTCTGCCCTGCAATGGACTGGCGACCTGTCCTGGGTGATTCCTGCCTTCTGCCCAATGGCTGCTGAGATAGGCTCCAGCAACCCCCACGACCCAGAAGGATAAGCGGCTTAGACAATATGTCTAATATATATATATATATATATATATATATATATATATATATATATATATATATTTATATATATATATATTTATATATATATATATATATATATATATATGTATATATATATTCTTAAATACATATATTCTTAAACAGTTAGACTACATGTTAATGAATTTTTGGCAAAGTGCCGAGCCTCGACCCATTTTTGCTCATTAAGTATTATGCCTTTCCTCAACGCTACTTTCATACTGAAGCATGATTATATTGTTTAGGGTGTTTTCTCAACATTTCACAATGTTCCTAGTCTTAAACTGCCCCTGTCCCAACTTTTATGGAGCATGTTGCAGGTGTAAACTTCAGAATAAGCATGTATTTACAAAAAAACAATAAAGTTAATAAGATAAAACATTACATTACATATCTTGTACTGTTTTTATTCAAAAATAAGTCAATTTATAAATCACTGCTCTATGTCTTTATTACCATTTCACATACTGTCCCACTTTGTTTGGAACTGTATTTGTAGTACAATTAGCTTGAAAACTGTAGGAAGATGTTTCAGGATGTTTCAGGATACTTGAAAAATAAAATAAAGCTACTCTTTTTATTGATGTCGTTTCCATCAGAGAGATAGAAGCAGATTTTGGAATGGAGAACAAATGAGCAAGCGAATGAATTAATGCAAACGCAGTGAAATCAATAAAAACAGTGAGCTTGAAGTTGTGCAAAATAAAATAAATGTATAAAATGTGATGTATTGTAATAAAAGATACAGCATGTATGGTTTAAATACTAACATTAGTCGTGATTCAGTTTTACATGACCATTTTATAACCTCTGTTTATCCCTTAGACTTGTTAGAGGCTGTTTATGTTACTGTGCCTTTAAGACTGATATATGCCAATGAGCTCTGTTCTGATTCACTGCCCTGCATTATATCTCACTCAGAAAGCTACTGAAACACTCCTTCCACACATAACTTGCATGAACGGACAGGGCTGAACTGCTGTGGGATGAATAGGTGTTTATATGTATATGTTGGTTTTTGTGACATCACAAAAACAATGAATTCAAAATGTGCTGTTTTTCCCATTTAATTTCCATATTTGGACTGAATAAATGAACTGTATTTTTTGAAACATGAAACACTTTTACTTGAAATAAAGTTTCATGATACAGGCCCTTTAAATCTTATTGTACGTTTACAGCACAGAATCAGACACGCTGGAAAAGATTAGAGTGAGGAAAGGGAACCGAATCCCTGGTAGATTTTTGCTTTTTAAGGAAAACCCCTCAGCCTCCAACCAAAGCAGAGCTATCAGAGCTGAAGAGAAGAAAAGGAAGTGTTCAGAGAGTTCCCATGCACTGGGATTTAATGTAAGATATTTTTTACCAGATATATGATATAACTTTGGTTATGCAAAAGACTTTTATCCTCCATAAACCTCTACACAGTATATACACCATCTGCTAGCTTTCAACACTCAAGTGTAAAAGGCAGGATTAGACACATCAATATTATTTTATTCCAGAAGGATAAAATGGCTTTAACTTCTGGTCATCGTCATCCACTTCTCCGCCTCCCCTCATTCGCTTCTGATTCACGTCACTCAATAATTTTAATCCCAAAGATCCAATCACAAAGCAGCGCAGAAGCCCATGAGCCCTATTCATCAACACCTTATTACTGAGCAGAGTGAACACAAGTGCAATTTAATATGAATAACAGGAAGCTCAAAAGGGTGGAAATGCAAAGCAGATTCAAGCAATAACACAATGCACAACAAAGAGTTTAAATTAGAGAACTGAAATTGCATTGGCCACTTTGAGCATGTTGGATTTGGGAGGGAAAATATAATAAAGGAGCTTAAATGTGTTCATATCTGGTTACAGTTTTCCTTTAAAGGGCCCATATCCTACATTTTTCTTCTATATTTCTTTTTTGTGAGGTCCACTCGTGATATTTATATAGTTTAATCTGCCAAAAATCATTCATCTTTCATGTTTATGTGAACATTTTCCAAAACAGGCTGTTTTTATTACTGTGCCTGAAAGACTTATATATGTAAATGAGCTATGTTTTGATTGGTTGTACCTCATTCCAAAAGTCTGGTTGAAACACTCCTTTTAACTTCAGCTTTTATGGGTGGAGCTAAACTGCTGTGGACCTAATAGGTGTTTATGTGTACATGCATTATTTTTGTGACATCACAAAAACAATGAACCACTTCCAGCTCTCTACAACTAAATATAGTAATACTTATAATATGTTCAATATATTCTTCTAAATTCATCATGTTTAGGCCAGAACTGGCACTGAAATCAATTATAAGGTATACTTTCATGTTATAGGATTGCTGAACATCATACATGAACATTTTATGTTCACATTAAGTTATATTCTACAAGATTCACATTCAGACCTGCATTTTGTGACCCTTTATTATGTTAATGTTCTTATTCTAAATACAAATACAAATAATAAATATATTACCTAATATAAATATATTACCTTTTTATCAGAACTGGCACTTTATCTGGAATAGTATTGTTATATAAAATCCAGTAACATATAGGCTATGTTCATTTTTTTTTATTTTACATCCTTGCTAATACTTGCTAAAACTCTCTATTTGAATTTTTAAAAACAAATAACAAAAACAAAACACATTTTAAAAGCAGTATTTGCTTTTCAAAACCCCCCTCTGATGCAGTGAGAGTAGTACGATCCAGGAAACTGCGCTCTACTGAATGAAATCAGCTGACTGCTTTTATTCCCACTTGTTTTCAGGACAGCCACGCCCACTACCACAAAGATTGGATAATAGCATTGTCCATCGTGCTGGGATTGGCTAATAGGAGTGGGATCCCGCCTCCTGTACCACGATTGGCTAGTACTTCATGAACTCACGAGCCAATCCTAACAGAGTTGGGCGTGGTTTATCGGAATACGGGTGGGAAAGTTAAACCCAACGCTTTCCCTTCAAATCTTCGGATGGAATAAACCACTGGAGCCGGTTTGCTCAACAGTGTCTGTAGCAGGTTTGCCTAAAGGAGACCGGGACTGACTTGCAAGGGACTTAACGACCAGAATAAAGCTAGAAAAAGCAAAAGAAAGACATGGCTTCTAACTTCAACGACATAGTGAAGCAGGGCTACGTTAGAATCCGGAGTAAGAAACTGGGGGTGAGTTACCTGTTTGTGTTTTTTTTTTGCTTGCTTAGCTGGAGACCAAGTGCTCGCAACAGCTGCCGCAGTAGCATCTGGATTTAAAAAAGCCTTAATGGGTCTTAGAGGCATGGGCATCCCGCTGGGCATCCTGCTGGGCATCCTCAGTGCCAAAGAAAATGCCCTCAGCATAAGCTACACAGGCAGGGGTTCGTTTTATTCATTTCATTACTGGGCTTCTTTGGTAGCTGTTTTTTAAAGACTCATAACATATATATGTATATAAACCAATACCTTAAAGCCAGTGAACAAATAGCAAACTATCTTCTGTCATATTTCAGTTGTGGTTGCCTGTTTTTTTGTCATTTTTATGGTGCACATAGGTAAGGCTGGCATGGCAAACACAGCAGAATTGACAGAAAACAGGTTGTGAGCTTGGCTTTTGGTTTTATAGCACCCATGCAATTAAAACTGTAAAGTCTACTCATAGAATTAAAGTCATATGTAACCGTGAGTTATTTTCATAATTTATTTTCATAATTTACAGCAGAACTTTGAGTTCACTCTGGACTGAAATTTTTCTGAAATGTGCATCCAAGCAGCACTAGCTGCGTTTGAAAAGACCGATCAGGACAGGAAGTCTGATAAATCTGATGCTGGATCCGTGATTACAGGGATTCATTTGGGGAGAGGTTTACTTAAAGAAATACTTCCTGACCTGTTTATTACTTTAGTTACTGATTGCACATTGATCCCTGGGCTTATTGTTTAGTTATAAATCTTAACACAGTATGTACTGAGAATTATTCAGTTACCACTATGTATTATTCAGCATCTACTATGAATTATTCACTGTCTACTATAAATACTTAAGTAACAAATATGAATTATTCAGGAACTACTGTGAATTATTAAGTTGCCACTATGATTTATTCAGCATCTACTTTGAATTATTCAGTAACTACTATGAATTTATTATTTAGCAACTACTATGAATTGTAAGGTTACCAGTATGTATTATCCAGCAACTACAATGGATTATTCAGTAAGTACTATAAATTATTCAGTAACTACTATGAATCGTTCAGCATCTACTATGATGTATTCAGTATCATCTACAATAAATTATTCTGAAACCACTATAAATTATTCAGGAACCATCCTGAATTGTTACCTACTATGAGTTATTTAATATATATTATGAATTATTCAATAACTGCTTTGAAATATTCAGTTACCATTATACGTTATTTAGCATCTACTTTGAATTATTCAGCAGTCACTATAAATTAAGTTACCACTATGTATTATTCAGTAACTACTTTGACTTATTCAGTAACTACTATAAATTTATAACCACTGTGAATTATTCAGCATCTACTATGAATTATTCAGTAACCATTATGAATTAGTCTCTACTATGATTTATTCAATATACAATAAATATTCTGAAACCGCTTTAAATTATTCTTATTATGAATTGTTATCTACTTTGAGTTATTTAATATATATTATGAATTATTCAGTAACTACTATGAAAAAATATGCAAGTTATGTTAGTGAGGGTTTGAAGTTGGCCTACCCTTATGACAACAGAATATATTGCAGTAATTGTGACGCTCCAAAACTCCAAAGTTTAATAGTGATGGTATAATTTTTCAATGTTTTACTGTGTATTTGTATGGGCACATACAGGACTTTAAGGCGTTACATAGTTCTGTGTCATTAAACAAGAATGTTTTGTTTTTAGTTTGTTTCCACAAGTGAGAAAAGTTAGCTAATAATAGCTGAGGGTAGTAGATGCATGCTGGGTAATAGATCAAAGCTTCAGCAGCATCATCTGATCTATTTATCATCCACTCAGTCTGTTATGAATGGGCTGCTGCAGTTACACTGGCAGGGTACCGCAGGCTCTGGAGCTGAACTCAGCTGTCTGTGTGCTCGTACGTGAACTGGCTTCCTTGGCTGCTACCACTATTCACTCTGAAGAAAAGCTGTTGCACAACTTTGAGCTATTCTATTCACTTTTAATACAATATAGCAGAGAAAGCATAAATGAGGAGGCGCAACTGCTGCTCTAATCCAGCGCTGCCTCAGCTGCCAGAGATTTTATAACATACATAAGAGGAGACAGCGATCCTCCGATGGGGACAGTCCTGGCTCAGCCAATCATATAAGATCTCAGAAGTTGAAAGCCAATCATATAAGACCTTGTATGTTGTTTGCCAATCATATCAGACATATCAGGGCCTCTGTTGCTGCTCGCTCTGCAAAGTAATGTCGGTCGGCAACTGCTGAAATTGATGACAGGATTATATCTAACAGCTAACTAAATAAACATTAAACCTTATTCTATATGTACATATATGAAGAGTTCATTAGCAAAAAACAATAAAAAACAAGCTGACAGTCGTGAGTTATTTTTAACACAAATACGGTTTAACACAAATACGGTTTGTCAGTCCTGTACTTGAGCAAGACCTAATAAATCTGTTCAGCGAATCAGCACGTAGTATTCAGGTCCGGTGACGCAGCACTGCCACAAACTTTTTTAGGCGTAATCTACGAAGTGCAGTACGTAGGTCTTAAAATAACTGCTACTGCATCTAAACAGAGCACAGTGTGTCCACTTTGGATTCAGCCATGTGAGCACAATTCCATACTGAACTTAAAAATTAAAACTTGGGAGTCAATTTCATGACTCACTCAGTGCACTATATGAGGAGCATTATGCCATTTGAGATTCAGCTTTAGGATTTTCCAAGGTATGATCTTATAGATGTTTAATATTGCCTATTTTTGTTGCAACTGTCAGCACTTTACTTGCTTGTTTTATGTTAAAGAATGTTAAATATTGCACTTAAAAGAACTTTGTGTCCATTAAATGGCTTTGTTTAACATGAAATGACCATTGGAGTTACCCGCTTTTGCCAAAAAACAAAATTTAAATTCAGTAAAGTTACATTTTGTAAGTTACTTGTATTTTGTTTAGTTATTTATACTTCAAAACAACCCAACTGCAGTTTGATTGATATTACAAAAAGAAATATATGATTTATGAAAATTCATTAAAATATCTTCAAATATATACATATATGTATAAGTAGTTTCAAACTGAAGATCCCTACGTACAGTATGGATTTGTGAAACATTCTGGTCAATATAGCTGTTTTTACTTGTCGCTTAGTTAACTAAATTAACTAGCTCGTTAATATTTATGTGAGGCAAGTAATTGGGGATTAGGCTATATTTACTAAAGGTAACCAGCTGATGAGCTACTATTTTAACCTAGTCTAAGGCTGAATCTCAAATGGCTTCTTACTCCCTACGTAGTGCACTATGTAAATCATGAAATAACAGTTTCTGCTCCCAAATAACACATTATATGTCTAATAGAAAGCCATTTATATTCAGCCATAGGCTTTAAGGCTCCATATTTAACATTTATTGCGCTATTTGGGTGCAGAAGGCACAGTGTCAAGACTAATGTGACTTATGCAGCTAGTGCACTATATAGGGAGTAAGCCATTTGACATTGAGCCCAAACATAAATTAGCTTATCGCCTTTGGTTTGTGCATGTGACCAGATTTCAGTCGTGATGTTATTCGCTAAGATCTATTGCTTAATTTTCCTTCTGTAGATGGAGATATGAAATTAAGAGGAGGCAGCTCCCGAGGTGAGAGGATTTAGCCAGTTCAAAGAAAAAAAAGAATGCTTTTAATGTTTTTAATTTTTAATGTCTTTAATTAAGCCCAGAGCTCTTGTAAATCTGAGTTTAATAAAACATAAGCTGTTACTAAACACAGGCAGGGGGAGAGAAAGAAGCTGAAGGAGACTGACAGGGCTGGAGGAGCAGGTCTGATGAATGGTAATGGTCAGGCAGTAAGCGAGTGTGAGTTGTTTAAGCGTTCAGTTTAAATGAATACTTTATTTGTAGAAACATTATTTCCGTCTCAAGTTTATACTTAATGCTAAACTTTAATGAGGAACAGATATTTTGGGGGTATTTAAAAATGAAACATTCTCCATGGGGCCATGCCCCCCAGACCCCCTTACTCAAGGCCCCCCTGTCTGTTAATTTGCTAGTGACACCCCTGTTGCGACCCCTGGTTTCTGTCATTACCACTGTAAACAAAGTTCTTTTCTCTACAAAGAACTATGTAATTATTTAGATATTTTGAAAAAGTGGTTGAATTCCCCTTATGGATGGCACAATAGTATTGTTATTCCTGCCTATGCCCAGTATAGTGCTACAAACTGACTATGCGAGATAAAATATGTGAGACATTTCTGTGTTATTTTGCCATATGTTATCATTTTAAATGCTATTTTTTTTCTCCTAGCGTGTAGCATTCCTGCTAATATCTGTGGCCTCTATTTCACGACTGCATTAGCTCACACGTATTCAGTAAAGGTCACATCTGACAGAAACTGAGATGAAGAAGAGATGAGGAAAGAAATCTGTACATCAGTGTGATATTTAGAGCATTTTAGTTATATAATGACACACATGGGGAGCAGAAAAGGGTTCAGTGTCTGTAGTGTAAATGACTGATGACACTGCCTTTACTGTAATTAATTGGAGAAAATAAATGCTCTTTTTCAGTTTTTTTTTTTTCTATTTAAAATCCTGTCATGGTGCGTTTACATCTCAGCGCCCGTGACATTAACTGACCTTCTCACACAGACGTTACTGCCCTTTCAACCTGCTGTCCGTCCACCTCTGACATTTATTTACTTCACTCAGTTCTGTATTTAAAGTGTAATATAGTACGACAGCACTCAGATCAGTGAAATGAAAAGTGCGTCATTGTGCATGTTGGTCTAAAAACTGGCTTCGTATCTCCAAAATGATAACTTTACAGGAGAAGGAAAAAACGTACTTTACTTTTAATGTAAGTTAATGGAACCAGACTTCTTTACAAGTAATTTTGGGCCATTTCTTTTGGTCCATTCTTCATTAAATTTACACACAAAGTAAAGGGCAACATGTATTTTCAAATTATGTCAAAAACTG